CTGCTATAACAATAGCCCTGGCTTAAAATAATCATCTTACAGTTCTGGAGGACAGAAGTCCTAAAATCAAGGTGTCAACAGGGTAGTGTTCTTTCTGAAGTCTCTAGGGAAGAATCTGTTTCTTTGCCTTTTCTAACTTTTAGAGTCCATCTTCATTCCTTGACTTATGGTCCCATCATCCATCTTCAAAGCCAGCAGTGTAGCATCTTCCAATCTCTCTCTGCTTCTGTCATTACATTGCCTTTTCTGACTTGACCCCCCTGCCTCTGTCTTACAAGGACCCTTAGGATTTCATTTTGCCCCCTGCCCCTGCATAATCCAGAATAATCTCCCTATTTCAAGAGTGAATTTACTCACGTATGCACACTTTTTTACCATGCAAAGTAGCATATTTACGGGTTCTGGGGATTAGGATGTGGATATTTTGGGAAGCCTTATTCAGCATACCCCAGGGACTGTGTGAGTTCTTTTCCTTTGGGCAAATCTATATAATTGATAAATTATTTGGGAATTGAAAAAAAAAAAAATAAGAAAATGTATCTGCTTTCCAGCCAGACTGAGGTGATAGTGAATACTGAATTGATTCTCAAAAAATGTTTTTATTGAGCTCTTCAGTTTTTTACCATTTAAAATCCACATTTATAGCTCGAGTTAAAAATCTGAAAATTCTATTGTAGTTTTGTCAAAATAACTATATAGTTTATTTTTGAAGAAAAGTATTCAAAATATTTAAGTTTTTATTTTAGGTCTTTGAAAATGTAAGCATCTGTTGTTTTGGTGGAAATTATTGAGTTCTGATACACTGAGACAAAAATATCTCCCAGATATCCTTGAGTCACTAAGTAGGAAATGATTCTTCTGGGTTATTTCACCAGCTTTGATAAATCAAATGGCCACATTATTATTAGGTTTTCTAGAATACTTACCAATTCTATCTGAGTACACTAAAAAAAAAAAAACCTTCCAGCTCATGCCTTCTACCTTTTAGATAGTAAAATTTGCGTAAAAGATCTGTCACGAAGGATCATCCCGTGAGAGAAAGAAGAGGGCTGGGACTGGGTGGAGTGTGCACTCCGGTCTGCTGGCTGTGGCTGCCTGGTAAGGCAGGAGGGTAGGTGTGCCCTGGAGGGTAGAGATGGGCAGTTGTGTCCTTCAGACAGGAGGCACCGGGGCCTGTGTCTTCTTCTAGGGCTGCGGTCTGGGCTTTCCCTCATCGCTGGCCTGCAGGCCCTCTGACTCACTGCAAGACAGAGATCCCAGGTCCACAGCTCCCTAAAAGTAGTGCATCTGACCACTCACCTCTGGTGACGAGCAGGGGCTTGGGAATAGTTTCCCTGCCAGGGTGGTTACCACCCCAAATGAAACAGGACCTGCGACAGGAAGGATGTGGGTTTTGGAACCTGAAGTTTTGGGTTCAAATCCCAGCGGAGGCACTTCTAGCTATGTCGGCTGTAAGCAAGTCCCCCAGTCTCTTGGTGAAGTAAAGGTGACAGTACCTGTTGTGCCAAACACTCAGGTTTATGGCAGTGCTCTCGTAACAGGTTGCCACATTGTAGTCAGTTACTGTGTTGCATTTGAGAAGTCCCCATGCTCCATCTGAGAGATTTAGGAGGGGAGGGTGGGGAGGACCACTGTGACAGGTGGGATGTGTGCATATGGATCCTGAGTCTGGGGAAGCTGGTGGGCATGCCTGGGGCCACCAAGCTCAGTCTGAGCCAAACCTGGAAGGATGATTGTCACTGCTGTCTAGCTGGCCATTCTTCATCTATGGCCTTCTGTAGACGAGGGGAGCAGCTGCTACTACTGCAGGTGTCACCACCAGGAACCCTAGGGCTTCCTGTGTTGAAGCCTGAGGAGAGGCCTTGCCTATGATAGCCACATTAACCTGCCTCTTGGTACAGGAATGGGCATCACTGTGCCCCAGAGAGCCATTTCCTGAGGTCAAATGATTTGTGTACCTACCAGCAATAGATAGGCCCTTCCCACTCCCCGGCATGGGAAAGTGTAAAAGTGGATTGATGCCCAGAGCAGCATTTTGTCCTCTGAGCCAGGCAGTCCCAGTGTCTGGGGAATTGGGAGGGTAGGAACAGTGTGGCTCCAGGTCTGGGCCTTGGGCCTTCTAAAGCCAGTCCTGAGTGGTTCTCATGATAGTTTCCTTGTGATGTGGGAAGATGCCGGAGGGGAGCAGCAGGGCTTTGGGCACCCGTTAGTGAGAGCCATTCGGCTATGGCCTGTTCCTGTATGGGCTCCTGAGGGGATCTTTTTTTAACTAGAGGGTTCCTGGCTGAAAAGACAGGAAAGCTTACAGTACACAAGGCTTGGGGTTGGTGCTGTGATTTTGAGGGACAACTTACCTTTGAGCCCACTGGTTTAAACGCAAGGCAGTTTAGGCTCCAGGGTCTTGTCAGCTCCACCTCTCTCTCCAGTCATGCCCTCTGTTTCCCTTGCCAATCCTTAGCCCTGTCATCCATCTGTTCTCATGCCCACACCTTTGCTTAGAGTCTGCCCATGCCCCCTGCCCTCACCCTGTGCATGTATACATGCATGCGCATGTACACACAACGTATGCCGTGAATGTTTGAGTCCTGTCTTCTTTTCTGAGCCACTCAGATCTTCAAGCACTCTGCCCCAATGACCTTTCCCTCACAGGGGAGAACTTCTCCTACCCATGCCACTTGAGAGGGATGGGGTGTCACTAAGCATGTTCACATGGACATGCTGCTCAGACCCCCAGGAGGCAGCAGAGGCCGGGAAAGCTACTTGGGAGGGCTGCCTTGGGGAGTAGACCTGCCTGCCAGCCCCTTAGCTCACCGACCCTGTGTGGGTTCTGTGGGCTATGTTCCTTAGCCAAACAGGCAGGCAGGCCCCTCTGTAGCTCACACGCTCCTGTCCCATCTATGTTCATGCTTTTACCTGTACTTCTCACTCCTGGAATGACCTTCACCCTCTTCCCTGTATAAAACCTTGGTACACATCAGAGGTCTCACTTCTGCTCTCACCATTTCTATTCAGCCTTGTATTAGAGGTCCTAGTCAGTACAGTAAGGCAGAAAAAGGAAATAAAAGGCATGCAGAGTGGAAAGGAAGAAATACAAACTATCTTCATTCTCAGACACTATGTTAAAAAATTCTGAAGAATTTTCACATAAGCTACCAGAACTAATTAGTGAGTTTAACAAGATTGCAGGACACCAGATGAATATATAATAAATCAAATATATGTGTGTGTTTAATAGTGTTATTGAGATAAAATTTACATGCCATAAAATGGACCCATTTAAAGTGTACAATTCAATGGTTTTTAGCATGTTTATGGAGTTGCCAATCATTATCATAATCTAATTTTAGAACATTTTCATCACTCCGAAAAGAAACTTTGACCCCATTCGTCCACCCTCAAAATCAATTTTATTTTGTTATAATAGAAACAATTGGAAATTAAAATTTAAAAATAACATTTATAATAGCATCAAAAATTAAATACTTAGAGCTAAATATGTCAAAACATTAAGAAATTAAAGAAGACCTAAATAAGTGGAGCGATATGCCACATTCATGATTGAAATAATCAATATATTAAGCTATTCTCACCAAATTGACCTATAGATGCAACAAAATCCCAATCAGAATTTCTTTTGAAAAACACTGTTAGGAAAATGAACAGACAAGCCACAGACTAGAAGAAAATATTTGCAAAACACATAAAAGGATTTATATTCAAGATATATCTAGAACCCTTACAGCTCAGTAAGGTACACAACCCAATTAAAAAAAAATGGGTTAAAGATTTGAACAATCATTTTCTAGTAAACCAATAAGTATATGAAAAGATGCTGAACACCTTGGTCATCAGAGAAATGCAAATTAAAGGCAAAATGATATTAAAACCATTACGTCACTACTAAAATGGCTAAAAGAAAAAAAAAAACAGACAACTGACAATACCAAGTGCTGGTGAGACTGTGGAACTCATACATTCCTGGTGGAAATGCAAAACAGTACAGCCACTTTGGAATACAGTTTGGCAGTTTGTTATCAAGTTAAACATATACTTATTTTATGACTCAGCAATACCATTTCTAAGTATTTACCCAAGAGAAATATGTCCATGCAAAGACCTGTATGCAAATATGTGTTGGCTTTATTTATAATGGCCAAAAATTGGAAACGGCTCAAATGTTATCAACTAGTGAATGCATAGGCAAACTGTGGTACATCCATATAATGAAGTGCTGTTCTGCAGTAAAAATCAACGAAATAACTGCTACATGTAACAATGTAGATGAATCTCAGATGTATTGTGCTAAGTAAAAGAAGCCAGACACAAGACATTCCATATTCTGTGATTCTATATTCTGTTTATATGACATTCTGGAAAAGATAAGACCATAGGAGAAAAATCAGATCAGTGTTGCCAGGGACAACACTGGATTGGAATTGGGTGGGTGGATTGGAATTGACTGTAGAGAAGCATGAGGGAACTTTTTGGAGTGATGGAAATGTTCTGTATCTTGATCATGGTGGTGGTGGTAACGTGTGTTAAAATTTGTTAAAAACTTATTGAATTGTCAGTTAACAAGAGAGAGTCTTGTTTCATGTAAATTATACTTCAGTTAAAAAAAATTATTTTAAACTCACCATGATACACCTCAGAGCTCAGTTCAAGATTCCTCTTCCTCTTGACAAGGCTTTCCCTGACCACTTTCTTGTGGCATGGCCTCCTGGTAAGTCCTTTCCTGATCACTCATGGTTTTCCTGCTAACCACGACTTGGGCTCCTTCTTTAGTAGGGCTGCCTCTGCTCCTCAGGGGTGGTAAGCTGCTGGACTCACTGCTCATCTGGCACAGCCAGATGCTGTCTGTAGCCGGCTCTGTGAGAGGCCGAGTGCTAACTGAGGTGGTGGCAGCCTGGGGACAGTTTGGACCTGGGTGGGCTTCTGTGGCTGTCTTGCTTCTCCCTCTAGTACCTCTACTCAGCTGTGGCTATTCTCTTCCCTCACAGGTTGGGATAAACATTCCTATGGTTACCATGGCGATGATGGGCATTCCTTCTGTTCTTCGGGGACTGGCCAGCCCTATGGTCCCACATTCACCACAGGAGACGTGATTGGCTGCTGTGTCAACCTCATCAACGGCACCTGCTTCTACACCAAGAATGGCCACAGCCTTGGTGGGTGCATAGGGGATCTTGGAGGATCTGCCCTATGGAACTGCTTTGATTGATGAGTGGCCCAGGGGCAGGCTTTGTAGCCAAAGCAGTATCACAGATCCCGTGCTGAGATCTGGGGAACTGCAGCCATTTCCTACAAGGTAAAGAAAGGGTAGCAGGAGCTCTCCTTTTGTTAACCTATCCATTCAGGAACATTTATCGAGCCCAGGGTCAGTGTCGAGAGAGCAGCATTGTCATGATCATGCTCCTAGCCTGTGTGATACTTGTCAGAGCAAGGCTTGGGGTTGATGAGAAGTTTGAGGGTCCCAGGTACACACTTGAGTGATAGTGGTTTGCATGCTCATGGCCTGAGCCCAGACTGGCCAGCCCTTCTAAAAACTCAGGGTACTAGTTGCTATGGAGCAACAGTAAGGGCTGTCTAGTACTGCAGATAAACATACAGGCTGGAGTCAAATGGGGCCAGGCCTCTCCTGTGGTTAACAGACAGCAAATTGGACAGACTTATATTTTAAAAGGTACCTTTGGTAAACTGTGAAGGATGGACTGACTGCAGTAAGGGCCAGGGGTGAAGGCAGGTGGCCTGAGGCAAGGCAGTAGTGATAGGTACAGGAAGTGGGGAACAGGCCTGACAAAGGCCTAGGGGTGGCCCAGTGGGGCTTAGTGACAGATGGGGAGCACTAGCAGATGGTGGGGGGGGGCATGGGAATTAGTAAGAAGAGAAGGTGGAAAAGTGCCTGGATTCGTGGTACTAGCAACTGGGATCAGAAACTCAGGAGGAACAGCGATCAGTGGAGGGCGATAGTGGTCCTGCAGGATCCCTTGGAAGAGCAACCCTATGCACATGTAGAAATTTAAGATTAGAACTTGAGAGCAAGGGAGACTTTGTTCTGATGCTTGCCCTACCGGGACTGACTTGTATTTGGCTCTTAAGTGAGAGGAGCCCTTGGCTAGAGTGGTTCTGAGGTGATGCCTAACTGCTGGGCCTTCCTTCCTGGGTTTGCAGAGGTCTCTGATCTGGCAGAACCCTACCAGCCAGGCTGGCCACAGACCTTGCCAGGAAGGAAGTTGGGCATTTTATTTGGAATTAAATTCCTAGGAGACCCACTTCCCCTGGCTTGAGGGGCAGTTAAAAGGGGGCTGCCACTCCCCGCAGCCCCTTTGTGGCTTCTCCAGTAGATGAGCCCAGGCAAAATCAGGGGACCTGAGTGGAAATCAGGTTTTCTGGTGGTTGGGCTGAGTGATCAAGAGCCAGCATTCCTCAGCAAGGCAGTCGAATGCCACGGCCCATAGTGGGCAGCAGGAGCATAGCACAGACACCTCAGAGCTGACCCAGGTGCACAGCGGAGAAACTCCTCTGAGATCCATGGCCACCTAGCTGCAGTTACTGGTATCCAGCTGGTGAGGAGTTAGCTGCTGGAGGATGAGGCCAAAGTCTCAAGATGGCTCCTCGCTCCCCATTTTGTTCTCTGACTCCAGCTATTTCTTGGCTCTTGGTTTTTCTGCTGTCAGAGTTCCAGGGGCCATCCCTTTTACCTGCCCCTCTGCAGCCAGTCTCAGTCCTCTCTGCTTTGAGTTCCTGCGTCCTTCACATCCCTCCAGCTTGTCCATACCTTGTTCAGAGCATGGCACCTGCTGTAGGACCCACGGTTTGGGGCATACCCTGCTGTCCCCACTGCATTTGTACCTCCCTCCTCTGGGCCTTAACTGTGCACCAAGGCCCATGAGCTTGTTGTCGGTCAGGAGCTCATGGCCACCTTAATGTCAGCCCAAACCCTCATGCTGTTTTTAAAAATTCATCTTCCTACTATATGCTTTTTATGGATCCCATGCAAGACCTCACACATCTTGCTATTACACTTCATTTAGGAATATATTGCCTATTTTTTCAGCTTGTCAAGATCTGTGGTCTCACTTGTTCTATCTCAAATATTTGGTATTTTTTTCAGCATTGTATTAACCTAAAATTTGATAAACATGTTTCATGTGTGTTTTCATTGATATCGATTTAAAAAACATTGGAAGAAGACAAGGCTATGATGTGAGCCTTTAGCCTATAGCTTGTCTGGGTAGACACCAGCCATTTAAGAATCACTTTGTTATATTAGTTTGAAACTCATGTTTTTCTATTTTGTCACAAGGATACTACTTAGACTTTACTAAAAACTGGATATCACCCATCCTTTGCATTTTCTTGATCATGAAATTTAATGGAAAGGCAGTGAACTTGGGATGATAGACTACTTGGTGAATCTTCTAATGACCTTGTTTACTTCTCACAAACCAGCTTATCAATAAGTGTGCTTCAGAATTTCAGAGGATCAGTGAGCCAGTCACTGCTCTCTAACCTCAGAACCTTTCCTTTTTTAGAGAAGAATGATGTTTCCTGGCCTCCTTGCTTTTTTCATGTACTCCATTGTCCTCTGTCACAGCGCTCACCCCGTGGTCATTGGTTGGTTGTCTGTGTAATTATTAGATGCATGCCATCTCTCTTGCTGGAGTTGGCAGCACTTTGAGGGCCAGGCTTGCAGTGCCTGTTACAGGGCTTGGCCCCTAGGAGGTCTCAGCAGATAACGTGACGAAGGATGAGTGAGCGAGTGAATGGAGACGGGAGACTGACAGCTCATCCACAAGTGGTCCATGCACTTGCAGAGTCATTTTTATCCAGCTCTGTGCTCTCTCACAGGCTCTTTATACCCTCAGCCTCAGTGACCCCTGACCTATGTCTGTTTGGTTCGGGGCCCTTCTTATCAGCAATTTTGAATGTCCTGTTTGCATCCTGGATCTTTGCCTGGACCTTCTTCCTGTGGATCAACCCAGATCTTGTCACAGTAGCCTTGCAGAGGCTCCCAGAGACCTGCAGAGCTTGGGGTAGCAGTGTTGCCCTTGTCCAGTGCAATAGGGGGTGGAGTAGCCTCTTTTCCTCATCTTCCTGGAAGCACCTCAAGGGCTTATCCTTCCTGAGTACCATTGTGAGGTAGAGCTGGGCAAGCCCGGGAAGGTCATCCTCTGCCCAGAACTGTGGCAGTTGCCTCACCTTGTGGCACAACTGCAGCCAACTTATACCCAGACTTCACAGTTTATGAAGCAGCTTTCACAAAGTATCAGTATCTCAGTTTCTCTCTTGAGGTATTGGAATTAGTGTTACCCCCTTTTTTCAGATGGGCTCAGAGAGGTTAGATGACTTGCCAAAGGTTGCACTACAGATAACTGATGGAGGCCAGACTCCCCCTTATTCCAGGGTCCTTCAGGTCTCCTCCATGAACTGGGGTACAGCAGCAGTAGCCTGGCCACACTGAGATCCTTGAGGGCAGCTTCCATGCAGACCTGGAGGCTGGAAGGGCTTTCAGATTCCATCCTGCCAGCTCTGTGACTATTGACTCTGCATGTAGGGCTCAGAAGTGGCCTCGGACAGGCAGATGATGGGGTTTATGAGCTTCCCTTACTGTGGAGCAAAGTGGCCTGGCAAAGAACTTAAACAGTCTCTCTGCACCTTCGTTTTTTCATCTGTAAACTGGTGTCTGACAGTATACACCTTCCAAGGTTGTTCTGAGTATTAAATGGTTCCTCGTTAGGCACTGAGCCCAGTGCCCAGCACAGAGGAAACACATGGAATGCACTGACTGGCAAGATTTTGGCCCCAGGTTCACTGGGAAACCTATGGTCAGACCCTCACCTGTTCTTCTGTCTTGTGGGGTTTCAGTTTCTTTTCTGGGTGGGGTTGGGAGAGCAGACTGGGGACCTTTAAGAAGTCAGTGGTTTGAAAACCTTTCAGGCCAAAAGCTGAGGAGTTTCTAGAAGATAAGGAATTTATCTTAAAAAACGGAAAGGCTATGAGTCCTTGGGAGAGCCTCCTTTGGCCTTCAGTTGTTTCTCAGTCTGCAGAACATGAATGCTCTGGTTGATAACCCAAGGCCTCTCTTGCTTAGACCTGCTCATATATTTGGGGTCCCGCTCCCCTCCACTCTCACTTCCCATTCAGGTCCCTGGAAACAGAGCCTCTTCTCTTGGCAGGAGGATTCAGCGGGTACACAAGACATTGTTAACCTGGGGTTTGTCAACTTGTAACCTCTGGGGACTCTGGACAGTTATGGCCCTGGAGATGGGCAGCCGCCATCTTCCCTGTCTCCGCTGCTCTGTCAGCTTAGAGATGATGTTGGAGTGTCAGACTAGGAATGAGTCCAGTCCCACCACTTCTGCTAGTTTTATGATTCTTGGCAAAGAATTTAACCTCTGAGATTTACTTTCCTTATCTGTAAAATGGGGATAAGCATGCTCCCTAGAGTTGGTATGAGGATCAGAGGAGGTAAAACATGGAATAGGGTCTGGCACACATAGTAGGTCTCCATAAGTACATATTGGATCAAGAGAAGGATCAGGCCTGGAGAGACCTCAGCGGTAGATCATTGGGGTTTTAGTCCTTCCTAGCAGGCTTTTTCTGAGCGAGTGGAAGAGCTGTGGACAAATACTCAAGTATCTGACTTCACTTCTGGCCAGGCCACCCAGCAAAGGGAAGACCATGGTCTAACCTACCAGGCTCTAGCGCATGCTTGGCCTCCACTGTTGGGTAGATGTGATGACCAGCCCCTTTCCTGCTATTATGACAGACCTTCTGTGGGCTGATGACTGTTCCTTTGCCTCCACAGGTATAGCCTTCACAGACCTCCCGGTAAGTACTATTGTTGGGAGCCGACTGGGATATGGGGCATGATGGTACTTGCAAGTGCAGGATGTAGGGTCTGTGGCCCTTTCCCCAACCAAGGTTGTGTGTTGTGCTGTCAGCTTGAGGAGACCAGTAGGGGATACCTGCCGGTTTTTTTCTCTCCAGTAGCAAGACCTGGTCTTACTCTATAACTTATAGCAGGTAGTGATTTGTGGTACTTCCGAAGGCAGTTGGGGAAGCAATGTAGGTAGAGTTGAGGGTAGCTCCAGGTCCAAGCCCGTTTTGCATGGCTTACAGCCAATACATCAAGGTGCAGAGTGTAGAGAATTGTTCCTGACCTGTTAGGTCCCTGTGTATCCCCATTAGAGATCCCTAAGGAAAGCCAATGCCCTAGGGCAAGGGTCTCCAACCCCTGGGTCACGGACTGGTAAGTGGTCTCTTAGGAATTGGGCCGCATAGCAGGAGGTGAGTGGCAGGCAAGCGAGCAAAGCTTCATCTGTATTTGCAGCTGCTCCCTAGTGCTAGCATCACCGCCTTAGCTCCACCTCAGATCATCTGGCATTAGATTCTCATAGGAGCACCAGTCCCTGGTGCCAAAATGGTTGAGGACTGCCACCTTAGGGGACTGAACTTGCTGCCATA